AGAGAAAGAAGAAGCAAATGAAAGCTTATGCTGATGAGCGCAGACACACATCACAAAGCTCGATCAAAATTGGTGACCGTGTCCTTTTGAAACAGAATAGGGGTAACACGTTGACCCCGCCCTATGATCCACGACCATATGCAGTCGTTGGAATAAAAGGGAGCATGATCACTGTGAAGAGAGGAAAGGAAGTCAAATCCCGCAATTCTTCCCACTGTAAGGTACTCAAGTATGCTGGAAAGGAGGAGCACGACGATTTGGATTGGGACAAAGAACAACAACCGATGAACAGGCGACCAACGAACCGCCATATTGAAGTAGGGGAGGTTCCTGGAGAAGGAAATATAGTCATGCAAGAGACGCACAGGGGACCGACAATCGCGCCATCGGAACCCCGGAGATCAGTACGAGCCAGAACGTCCACGTGGGAAACAATTTACAGAGACTTCAAGCCTCACTAAAGAAAAGGGGGGAGGCGTAGTGTCCAGGCCTCCAAGTCCACGTCCAAGGCCCCAGGAGACGTAGACTCGAGTATTTATTATGCACTGTAAAGTGAGAAGGGGGTCTGAGAAAATCTAGGATAACGAACAAACTAAGCGAGCTGTAAGCCAACTGTAAGCGAACTGTATAAGCGAGCTCCTAAACTTTACAGCACCCGTAATTCAGCCTCTGGTCTGCAAGTGGTCAGATATAAACTATATTCGTATTCGTATTCGCAAATGAGCCTAGGTCTTCCCGGCAGGGAAGACTTCCTTATATAGCGCGCCTTCGTGTTTAAGACGGTATAAAACGGTTTAACGCGATTGACCAATATCATTTAGCAAAGCCACGATAAAGCCGAAGGAATAAAATTTACGGTAATGAACTTTTCTGAATGATACAAGCAAAGGGAAATTATGTACGAAAAAGTAACGGAATATCGACAAAGGTAAGACACGTAAAAACAAAAGAAGGGCTAACGCTCGAAACGTCAGCTTTTGTAATCGTTACGGTGGCCAATTTACCATTTCAACTTTGTTGATATATCCAAATTAAAAACAAAAGAACTTAATGAAAATACAACGGAAACGGAAACGGAAACTGACTTACGAATTTATAATGAAAACGTCAATGGCCCGATTTATACTGGAGACGGATCATCCGTCGAGAAGGATCATCCGTCTCCAGTATAAATACGTGAAGGACTATGAGACGAACTATCGGTGTGTCGAGTGACTCGTCCCGTGTTTTATACTGGACGAGTTTTCTGAATGGATTTCCGAGAAAGCACGGATTAACGAAAAGGCTTGGGCCCTAGTCAAATGTTTTAGTGCGGCCTTTGGCGGCAAATTTCAAAATGGCGGCAATGTCACAAGTGTTTCTTCTCCTCTGCTAACACAAGCGCAAGGTATTTCATTTCTGTATTCGTCGATACACGTTCTTTTTTGACTTTCTGGGTTTGTACGAACCACCATTTGACTTATCCGCAATCTTGAATTGATAGTTTATTGAAAACAACCGCTGGCTTCTTGTAACGAGGTATAGTTTTCGTGGATAGTTCGTCTTCTTCAGTTCCCGCATTTCTACACAGCGACGGATCATCCATCTTGACGAGTTATCCACGATAATTCGTCTGACAAGACGGACTATCGCGATAGCTCGTCTGGATGGATGATCCGACTGGTTGCCCGTGTTTATACACAGACGGATTATCAGACGAGCTACCGTTCCTTGCCCAAGCTCGCCCTAGACGGATGATCCGTCTCTAGTATAAATCGGGCCAATTTATTTTTCGGCGGCAGTTACAAATATTGTCAAGGTGTTTTAAAACCGTGTAAAGTTTTTGGAAAAGCTCAAATAAACAGGATACCCGTAATTCAAGAAGCTTCGAGTGAGAAAAATTTTGAGTGTTTATCTTTCCTTTCTTTTGTTTCCTTTTGCAAATTTCTATTTGCGCACATATTTTTCGTGACAGCGCTCGTTTCTCTTGTTTTCCTCGCAATGATACACATGTAGAAAATTCAGCACTTTCATTGGCTAAGAACACGTCCATTGGTCCCAAACATTGCAAAAAGTTGCAAGTGAAAGCAAAAAGTTGCAACTGAGTGCAGAAAGTTGATAAATTGATCAAACAGAGAGTCGCAAGAGAACAACGTACAACAAAAGAAATGGTGGGCAGGTCGGGAGAAAGAAACGAAAACGTTTTATTCAGAGTTTTAAGGAGAATGCTAAGAGCAAAAACACCCAATCAGGCACAAACAACCGGCTAAAGGTCGTGAATCTTAGGCTTTTAAAAACGGCCATGACAGTATTGAGACGGTATCGGAGACCCTAATATAATTTTCGAGTTCCTGAGGACTCAGTTCGTAAGAAAGAGACGGGAAAGAGTACAAGTCTTGCTTTTATCATTCCACACCTTTCAGTTGGATAATTGTAGGTAAGAAAATGACTTCGAGTGCAACTTTGTGTTAGCTTCTGTCGATCAGTGCACGAGGAAAATTTTCAAACACGACAAAATTGAACGAGCCCACCGAAGTCTTGTCTGGTGCCCAGTACATCGCCAAGTGCAGGAAAGAAAGGTTGGAGCGGGGAGTGGGAGGAGCAAGTGATGAAGGAGTTCTTTTCTTACGTCTTCCGCTATCACTGCTGAGCGTATTTGTGTTCTTTTCCGGCTAAAATTATCCTTTTACTCACACTTGGGAGTTCCCCACAACCAGGATGCAGTACATAGACGAAGGTTGATCAACTTCCCGTTCATTTTTTGAAAGCAACCTGTCGATAATGGTGGTTGCCGGTGATTTATACGAAAACGATGTTATATTCGTCGTGGAGGGTACCGCGAATTTACTTCTGGACTTTGAAAACCTGAAGAAATCTTACATTGAACCCGCAATACAGTGAGTATGAAATAAATAACGGGCATTGATATCTTCTTAGAGCGAGAAACAAGAACTGTATGCCTATTCAAGTATGGGGCTGCGCGGAAATCTTGCGAAGTCTTCTTTTTGTAATCGCTTTGCACATCAAGCACTACAGTTTCATTAACGTGCGGAAATTCCAAGTGAAATAAACAATCATCGATACCTGTGCGTGCGTAACCATTTTATTGTAGAGAGGAGTTTGTGTTATTGCATACTATTTTCTCGTTATACTTTAACTTTTTATGTTGTCAACAGAAATCCAGCGAATGATTTTAAAATAGACGATTTCAAGGTCTTTTGTCTTGGTAGGCGATTGTTTAGTCGTCTTGATGCTGTTTGCCGTACTATAGTCGTCAAGTGATTGTCTGGTTTAGTTTTCTTGGTTCTGTTTACAGCACGTGTGTAGTCTTAGTATTTTATTACACGAGACCCTCGTGATCTCGTGACCTAGAATGTAAATAACAGAGTAAACAAGCAATGACTGGCTTTTTTTCATTTGGTCTTAAAGATATCCAGACTGAACAGAAAACAACCCTCTGAAACAAGAGTTCGAATGGGCACTTTGAACAATTCTCTACAAGCCATAATAGTAATGATTTCTGTACATATTTTCAGGGAAGCCTCAGCAAAGCTTCCCAGTAGTGTAGCACAACACACTTCAAAGTTGTTGTTCTCTGAGTTCAGATCTCATTCCATAGATACTATTTCCTTGTCAATGAATGTTATTTCCAACTAATGACATTAATATCTTATTCATAGTTATTTCAATGGAGAAGTTCCAGTGGACTCCGAATACAGCTTTGGAGATGAGGTGTGTAACTCCAACATTATCACATGCAGTGGTGGATATAGGGGAAGGGCTTGGGGAGCCTGAGGTCCCACCCCACCTTGTTTGGGTAAAAATGAAAATCACAGAAGGAAGAAAAGCCAGTAGGTGTGCACACAAAAAGAAATGTCTCCTCCTCTGCTCACAGTCTGGATCTGCCACTGTACATGGGTAAATGATCTGTGACCATGAGTTTTAAAATTGTGCTTGATAGGATAGGACTGGATAATGCAAAAGTATTGTGCTGAAGCTGATTCCTCAGTATTACATTACACATCCTGTATGTACTACCCATAAAAATCATGTAATCAAGCAAATAAGTGTATCTGCACTGACTGAGAACACAGTATTGTCTTTTAGCAATGTACATGTAAAGAGCTACAATGGTCGTAAGCTTTTGAATGAGTATGATGACCTATATTTTTTATTGCAGAATTTTGGTGTTAGAATTATCACCTTTAAATTTAAGAAATCTAAAAATGTTATGTCTTTTTTATTGTATTTTTCAAAACAGACATTTAACAGGGTTCCTGCACTCCTTGAAAGTCCATGAAAGTCCATGAAAGTCCTTGAATTTAATTTTTTGTTTTCAAGGACTTGAAAACCATTGAATTTAGCCTCAGGTCCTTGAAAATTTCTGAAAGTCCATGAAAATAAGTGCAGATGAAACACAGTTGAAGTTTTCTCTTGTTTTTGGTGTTGAAAGTGTAAGTTTCTAGCACCAAGCGTGAAAACGAGTTTTCCTGTCAAATCTCGCACCCAATTATGACGTTTGACATGTGATTTTTAGATATATTGTACCTGATTGGTGCATTGAAAATAACCTTGGTCACCTAGCACATGATCACTCTGATGTGCATGCTTGAAGTCATGCTCCTTGGACTTTTATCTGTTTCTGTTAACAATAAAGAGCAATGTTTTTTTATTGCTATTAGCTCCTATTTCATGCAAAAGGTTGTTGAATTTGAGGGTCAAGGTCCTAGAAAATGACCTAAAAAGTCCTTGCAAGTCCTTGAATTGGGTTCCTGAAATAGTGTAAAAAAATATATTTAAGGCAAGTTAAAAAAAAAAAGTGTTAATAACCCCTTTTTTCTGAGAAATCACTTCAATGAGATTTTTACCTGTTCAATGAAGACTTGCTGTGCAGCATTACTTAGTGTGAAATGTCTTTGTACTCCTGTACACAGTCGGGGTATTAATTGATTATAGTAGACTTTATTATCTAATTGTGGAGACTGACTGCACTCGGCTGTAACCAACAGTCAAGGTTAAAATTTGGTCCAGTCAATTTTCTTTGTTCTTATTCAAGAAACTATACTGTAATATCTTCTCTACCCATTGGTGTTTAGTAATAACCAAAAATTATCAGGGAACCTGATAAAGTGCTAAAAGGGAAACCTAGGGACTTGGATCTTATACCCATATTTGATTTGTGCTAGAGAAACTGTGAAATGTTTCTGTCAGTAGTTGTGTAAATCAGTCTTTCAGAGTTTGCCTTTCCGATATTAATGAATTATTTACTTAGTGACTGAGTGGAAAGGCTGGACGGGAAAATATTTAGCTCAAGATCATGAGGCATGGACTGCGTACAGCAAGGTCAGTGCCTCATGACAGAGAGCCACATGGCTTTTTCCAGACTGGTTCATGTCAACCCGTCTGGCCTGGCACACATCAGCTTTCCCTATGGTTTTCTATGGGATTGTGCAAGTAGGGTCAGCCAGGTTATATGATATTATGTATTATCCATTTTAATTGTTTTTAGTATGGCCCAAACCAATACGGTTTGGTGGTTTATGGGACAATAAGCCATACTGCTGAGCCAGCAGTGCACTATGTCAAGGAAACTCGCAGTGCCAAACAGATGCTTCAATACCTAGATGATGTGAGGTTAGTTTTCTAAACTCATCCATGTGTGCAGTGAAATTACGAGATTATATGTTTGAATAATTTATCTAGAAATGTACTCTTGTGGACATCATAAAACACTCCTTAATTTATTTGCCTATAAGAATACACTGCTATGATAGTTGGACTCAATTGAGTGCTATCTGGAATGTAAGAATATCTTTGTTAAAAAAATGTGTTGTTAAGACATCATTTGTTAAAATCCTCAGAATTCAATGGTCTATTTCTTACTTTTCAAAAATTGCTTTCCTGTATGAAAATTAAGAAAATTGAAATTGTTTTTTGCTTTTAAAATGATGATGAGCTGTGTTTTGAAAGAAAAAATAATTATTTTCTGGTATGCAACTTCTCATTTTCTGGATCTGAAATGATTGTCATGAGAGAAAACTGTGATCATGTCTTTGCCTATTCAATTGTTCTTAAGATTTGAAGGGGGAGGTGGTGAAGAATGCAGTTTGCTGGCTGAGGCTCTGAGTATTGCTTTACAGGTATAGATATAAAATATTGATCTTGAAAACCTGGTCCCAAAGCCTATAATCAATTTTGGTCATTGTAACCTCTAATTGACTATCTGTAGTTAGTATATATCCTCCTAAACAAAGGGTGACACATACTGTAAGCAAACAAGCAATAATTTGAAATAAGGAGTATGTTGTCCTACTAAGTGTCATCCTTGATTGAATAGGTATATACATTTATAACTTTTTTTTACTTTTAAAGTGTAATGGCTGTGATTAAATTTTCATCCCATGAAATTATAAGGGAATCATTGAGACTTCATAAAAGATAAAAAATGGCCTTTCAGTTTTCAAATAAGTAAATATGCAAAGTGGATGACTGATGATATTGTCTTCTCAACCCAGTTTTATATTAAGGGGGTAAGTTTCAGAAGAAACTGTGGTGTGTCAGAACACTGTGGATGAATGATGCTTGTATGCAGTGAAACCTACTTTACAGCATAGTCCTTTAACAAAGAACCAAGTATTTTGGATGCTGCCTTGAAAAATTTGAATGAGTTTTTCATGTCATCCCTTTGCCAACTTGCCTATTTTAAGACTGAATTTCTCCACAGCAAAAATAAATATTTGAAAACAGTGAACAGCATATTTCATCTCAAACAAAATGACTTGTTTTTGACTTGTAAAATGGCATAGGTTGGAGAGACACAAATTGCATCAAAGTAGTACTCTTTGACACAACTCAATTCATCAATTAAACAAATTATAATAAATGTAATTTTCTGATTTAAAGGAATACAGGCACCCACAAAAGCTTAAGGTTTAGCTTTAACCTCTTTATTTTTTAACAGATCTTTGATGAAAGAACACTCCAGAGAGGTCAACATAAGTGAGTATGCTCATGACTGATGGTATCATGGTTTTTAGACAAAATGTTGCATAACATACCACTTCTTTGGTTTGGATGCTCTGCAGTCAATTTCCAGCGTGATATTAGGTGACTTGATGAAGAGGCAGAAATAATTACAGGAGATGGTCAGAGATGTCTGAGGATAACCTACACATCTGCTTTGCTCTTCCATAATTATCATCAAACTTTTGATATTTTGTAGTTTGATTGAAGGAACTGAAGGTCAAGATGAAAATACAGGGATGAAATGAGAACTAGGACCAGCCTACCCTTAGAGCATGCTACTTTCACTAATTAAAAGTCTATGTATATGTGCTTTATAACAGAAATAAATGTACATAAATTATTTAGTAATTGCTTACCATGAGAAAATTTCTTATTATCCCTTGATGATTTGCAGATCTGTGTGTACATGGAGGTTGCTGTGGAATATATCTGAAGTTGGTACAGTGGTAACTAAAGATACAGTTATGTTTTTCTTATAGAGGGATTGTACGAAAAAGCTGCATTGTGGTGAGCAACTCACCACCCTTTGGATTGCCAAGTCGTGAGTGTGCCGATGATTACTTGGACAAAAATGTTGAACAACTTGCTGAAGAAATGGGACAAAAGGTAAAAATAATAGCCTTGTACTGAGTGTTTGGAGCAATCCACCAGAAAGCTTCAAGAATATAACAAACTTCTGAGAGAGTGGTCCAGTTTGGAAATTTTTTATGACGGAAGTGTATGTTCATTCCATTCTGTGTGCTTTCCTTTTTCCCACTAATAAATAATTATAAGTTGCAAAGTTGTTTCCTTGTACCCCAAAAACTTAAAAAGTTTTACAGTACGAGGGAAAACCACCTCCTGGTTAGCTCAATTGGTTAGAGTGCCGGACTGTTGTGTGGAAGGTTGAGGGTTCGAGCCCTGACCGGACTAACACTCAAGGTCTTAAATTAACTGAGGAGAATGTGCTACCTTTCTTTAATATCAAGAAATGGATAGACATTCTAGTCTTCTCGAATAAGGACAAATAAACCATAGGTCCCGTCTCATGCATCTCTTAGTTAATTTGGTTAGGCAGGGGATGTTAAAGAACCCACTCATGAGGTTACTGTGACGTGGTCTGGCCTGTTTACTGGGCCCACAGTAATTGGTGCAAGCTGTTGCAGGGTCCCTGCCTGTCATCGAAGCTAATAAATAAATAAAAAAGCATTAGATATGCTGTAGGCTTCCAGGTCAGATGAAATTGATTTTTGGAAATAAGCTCAAAACAGTGTAGGGAAAGACAATGTAAACATGGGATAGTCATTATAAAGCTTGAATAATTAAAAGGTATTTGAACCTTTGTGTTTTTAGTTAACCAAAGACTGTTGCACAGTAATGTAGTTTGCATCTGTTTTTTCTGTCAATTTTTTGTTTGCTTTGAGTAACTATTCTTTATCAGCGAGGATATAGTTTATTTCAATCTGTCACTTCTCAATGGTGTCCCAAACATCTTAACTCTCTCTTTCATTTATAGACCTTCTNGGTGTACATATATGATAATGGTAACCATTTTTTCTCTTGCCTTTTCAGAAAGGAGTTCATCTTTCCATTATTGCTCCCAGAAAGATACTTGCACTTCAAAGAGTATTTGAAAGAGTAAGAAACCTTAAAGTGGTTAAACACTTTAAAGAGCCACTGACAGTAAATATGGAGAATCCACCGACAGTTGCAAAATTTTGTAATTCATCATAATCTAAAGGACTCTTTTAATGAACCTTTTTGAAAATTATATAAAAAAGTTCTGTCACACTTTTTCCTCCAAAAAATCAAAAAGTTCAAAATACACCTTTAGAAATGGCCAAGCTGAAAGACTGGCCTTGACCTCTTGTGTGACAGCCATTTAACGGATTGCATTAATTACATTTTCATAATTTTTTAGTCTGAACTCTTTGAAAGCTGGACATGCCGCCAATGGCAGGCCAAGAAAGAAACTTTGAGGAATTAAGCTACAAGGATAAAACTTTAACATATTTTGGTTTGTAAATATATCATACAAGACCTTTTTAAAGACCTTTAAATGGGTTGTGACAGCTGTTGAGCGCTTTGCATTGCATTTTTGACAAAATAGCCCAAACTCTTTTAAACCTGGACATGCTGGTTATAGCGGGCCAAGATAGAGAATTGGAGGAATTAAAATTCAAGAATAAAGCTTTAAGATGACCTATAGTATGATTTTTATGCAGACCTGTTCATAGGCCACTGAAGTTGACCTTTCATGATTTTACCTCCACGAAAGAGATGCGAAGTACTTTATTTTCACTGGTCACTATTCACACTTAAATGTAACAACATAACAAGAAATAAATATTTTCCAAGAGCTTAAAAGGCCATCTGCTCGCACACAAAATTTAAAAGCGGGATTGCATCGCATTTTAGCATACGTAGTTGCATAATTTTTCATTGCTTCATTGCTCATTATTTAGAAAAACTAAAACGAATTATGAAACTTTGCAACTGTCGGTGGATTCTCGACATTTATGGTTGTGGCTCTTAAATAACTTCCAGAAGTGATTATAATAACCTATTGTTTCAGTTAAACAGGCAATGTGAATACTCAAACATGATTGGGAGAAGTTTTTATCTTGAATGAAAACCAAATTCATGCTACTAATTTTACAAGGAAATGTGTACCAGCCAGAGGGAAGAATTAACAATCAGATCTGAAGAGTTACATGGTTGATAAAAATGAAGACTTATAATGTACTGACATTGACTACATGTAGTTTCTGAGTTGAAAATAGCCACAAAGTCTGTCGTGGAGTTTATGCAATACCAGTAGGACTGCTTATTAGTAAACTGTTTTACAATCACTGTATGTTTTATTCACTATAGATGACCAATAGAATGTTGCAAGGGAATCAAACCTGCTTTTGTTCTCTTTAACTTCATGTACATTGTATAATATACTGACAATAGTTATGTGAAGAGAATTTTTCTGATTCAAATTAATTTTTCTTTAAGGCTACCGATAGGTGTTGATGTGTCAGGAATATGTCATTGGTTGTTAGAGGAGACCTGTTCCTCACCTCTAGCACAGTTTTGGAAAGTAATACTGAATATAATTCCATATTTAGTATTATTTTTCAGTATAGTTTGTTACATAGAGATTCTGTTTTCAATTAAAGTGATATTCTTTGATCTGATTGTAGTCTCTGACGGTTGATAGCAAAAGTGTGCTTTCAAAAGATTACTCTAGGGACCCAAACCATCTAGTATGCATTCAAGGCCTTGATTTGCCAGGTATGTCTTTTCATCCAGGAAAAGATTGATTGAATCATTTCACTTCATTATTACCAATATTTTTAATGGAGAATGGGAAACCTCAGCCTGTGGAGTGTGTGTTAAATAGTGTTTGATGGAACTCTTGCAATGCATTAGTTATGTAATGCCAAGATTGTTCATTGACCCACCATGGCAGAAACAGTCTTTTCAAGACAGACACTAAGGAAATTTTTATTTGCTGCAGTCTGCTGGTCAGACTGTCTTGTCTGTGAATGGAGTGTTTTCTCTCTGAGAACTGACAGAACTGGTTCTGGCTAAACTAGTCCTGGCGAAACTTGTCCTTTGTTTGTTAATTTTCATGCTTCTGTACAGGCTTATTTCGAACATATGCAGCTCTTTTACATTTTGTATTCCAAGTTTAATTTAGATTGACTGCCTGTTTTCATTTTGTTTACAACTAGTTACCTGTAAGAATGAATCACAAGCTGAAACAGTAAAGAGTAATCCGTTTATGGTTGATCCAAATATGAAGCTTGTGCCAACACCACAGATGATTAACAATGGTAGGCATAAAATGCTTTTTAAAGTATGACCACTGGTATTTTGTATGGGAAGCAGATTGCAAATTCTTCAAAGAAATCTATTTGATACTGGATTAATCATTATTTTATTTTACCATTATTATAAAATGGCTGATGTCATTAACGATTGTGTCTAGTAGGTACAATTTCAAGTTACATGTAATTATTCAACATTTTAGTGGTAGATTGGTATCATTTTTGGAATGTACTTCTTTTAACTAAGAAAAAAATTGAACCTCCAAATGTATGAAAACCTATTTTTGCATAATTGTCCAGTGACCAAAGCTATACATAATTACTTTGACTGTGGCTTGCTTAGTTGATTTCCAAAGCTTTGACATGCATTATCTTTAATTTCCTCAAGGGAAAGAAAGTCCAGAGAAGCCCATTAAGAAACCAAAGATTGGACCGCGGCAGCCTTCTGAGGTTAAAATTCAGCAGCCAACTCCAGATGTCAACTTATCGGTGAGTATGTCTCACAGGAACTGAAAGAAAACAAACAAGCAAACCAGAAGTAAAAAAAAATGAGAAAGAGAGCTCTGAATAAATATTTCTGGAACTGAAACACAATGTGAACCAGGCACAGCATTTGTACAGTGTACTTTGAGCGATTTGTATGTACAGTGTACGTCGGAGCGATTTGTACAGTGTACTTTGAGCATTTTACAAACTCAACTTGTTACTTACACTTCAGTTGAATTTGTTTTCCTCAGATACCATCAGTCAATAATGCAACTTCTGGGGCTCAAAGCTCATCAGCAGCACATCAAGCCAAACAAATCTTGGAGATAGCCAAACAACAACAACAACGTCGTAAGTTCATCTTTGTTTATGCAAACATATTTTCAGCTCAGAGAAACCCATTTTTAAATACACGACTTCCATTGGGTTATTTAGGTTCATTTAGATGGATTACAGATGCCTCAATTTTACCATTATGCTGGAAAATTTTAATATGATTCCATTAGCTTTTAAAAAATCTAAATAATCATACTTAAAAAGTGATTAAAATTAATTTTATTCTTACTTTTGCAAAATACTGACTTGTAGAATTCTTCACTATTTGAGGCACAGAAAAAAATGTTTTTATTTTGGACAATCCATCCATGGTGGTGCCTTAATTACTAGTGGCTAACTCAATGAAATAACTCTAGAATCTTTCAACTTCAGAATCTCATCAGCAATCGATAAGGAAAGGGAAGGTGCTTGATATTTGTAGGAGTGCTGGAAATTGCCAGCAGCCTATGTTGTGCCTTACAACTGCCTGAGACTAACTGTAAAGGGACATCTCTGTAACAACCTCGCAGTCTACACCTCTGGATGCTCTCTGCCATCATTTATTTAGATCGCTAGTGATATCTCACAGTTGTTCATAATTCACCTGTTATTCTCCATTACATGACTCACAATAAGGATGCCATCTCCCCAACTTTTCATACGTTACATATGTCTGAATTTAAATGCACTAACCTTATTGACCATCATAATGTACTTTGTACATTACTTTTATTTCAATTTTTTATCTTTATGTAGGATGTCATTATGCATTATGTCATTATTATGCACGATTGCAGAAAAATAAAATATTGTTTTCACAGTAGAACCCAACCCAACCCCTAACAGTGGACAGCCAGCTAATAAAATGCCTGATGCAATAAAAGTTACACCAGGAAATTGGCCACCAAATCCCACCCCATCTTCCAGACCAGCTCCTACTCCTGTACCTACAACCCAAGAAAACCCAGTTGCTCAGAGAGCTCTAGTGTGGACTGGGAATTTGGAATGGCAGGATACAGTAAGTGTTACATGGAGCCAGTTTGATTTAGTTTATTTTGGATGAAGCAAGTACTGAAGTCATATTTTTACCTTGAACATGCAAGCATAAAAAATAGTAAAATGGTGATAGCCTAATTGGACGCTGACAGCTCAGAATCCTTAGACATGGGTGTTGTTCATGACACATGTCTATTTTTAGCTGGGTTGTTCATTTTCTCAATCAGGCTCTCCTAAAATTAAAAACTTTTTCTAAATAACTATAACAAAATTTTAACAGCAGCATCCATTGTTTGATCAGATTCGTGACCCTGCTGGCCCTCAGCAGAAAGTAACTCGCTCTCTGGCTTGTCATGCATCTGTCGTTCCAGGAGACACCATGTAAGTATTGATTCACACAACCAAAAGAATATTTTAGTTTGCAGGTATTTGCAAGGGAAATAAGGTACTTTTTATATCTTTTCAGTTCTACAAATTTAAGCTCCAAGGGAGCATTAGATAAGGAACAACTAGTTATTCCCTCCTCTTTCATTAATCTACTTTGTTTTGTTTTTTAAGAAATCAACCACAATTTTTTAAAAACAAGTTGAACTTGGCTTTCATTCTTTGATTAGCAATCGTACCTGATGTTGAGATATTTACTCTGTTGCTTTTTTTTGTGATGTGAGGTGATTTTTGTTGTACTTTTGTGAAACTGTGGCAAGGAAATGTGTCAGTAACTCTTAGAAAGATGATTTCTAGCATACCAAGTACTCAAGACCATGATTTCTAGACAAGTCTAAAGATTTTTTACCCTGTTTCTAGCTGGAGGTGGATGTTTGTTACTGTGACTACTCTGCTGAGATGTGGAAACACTGAACTCCCAAATGATTTATTTTGCTATAGTTCATTATTTACCTCTTTTGTTTTTGTTTTTGTTTTTTATTTGTTTGTACAGTAAAGCTAACAACTGGCCACCAAAGCTGATCATGCAGCTTATTCCTCAAAACCTACTGGTAAGGTTAAACGCAAGATGCCAAACTTAGTTAGGATTTGTTCTTCTCTTATCACAATCTGTTATCAAAATATGTTGTGTTTCAGAAATCTTCTGAGATTCATTTTGTCAGGAGAAATTGAAAGAGATGATTGATTATCAAAGAAGGATTTTTTCACTTTTCATTTGAACTTGTTTTGCTAAAAGCAGCAGTAACATTAAGTGTCTTGTTTTTTTCAAATTTGCAGTCAACCTTAGGACCACTCCTTCAGAATTCCAAGACAGTGGCTTTCCATTTTGCACCAAATGATCAAGAATCCTTGAAAGCTCTTTACAGGGTCATGGCTTCCCATGGCATCAAGTTTGTAAGTGTCTGTACCTTTTTTAAAGTAAATTTACATGGGCTTCAGGATTTGGAGATGGGGATGAAAAAGTTTTCCTGCATGCAGGCTATTCAAAGGTCCAACACTTTTGCCTCAAGATGTTACTTGACTCAGGGAAAGTGTCTCAAGTACTGTTACATGTATGTGATAGAACAGCATGATAGACTCCACTCAAGACCCTAGATAGATTAATGGGTCTGAAACATCATGAGCTCTGAGTTTTTAAAAGTAAGAATTATGTTTTATCTATTCCAGGCTGGCTGTGTGCACTTTCCGCCTGTTCCACAATGTGATGTTAAAGTCCTTCTGCTAATTTTTAGTCCAAAGAAGCGTGCCTTTGTTGGTTTAATTCCTGTTGAGCAGGTGTGTAAGCATACTTGATGCTTTTTCAATGTGCTGGCACGTAGCAGCAGTTTATGATGTCTATATAGGTATAGTGTTTAGATATTCTGGTTTTTTTATTTCTTAACATCTTATCTGAGTGTGTAAGTAATGACACCACAAGCTTCTGAGTTGTATGTTTTACCATTATGTTATTGTTATTATTACTATTATTATTACTATTATTATCATTATATTATTATTATTTCATTATCACTATCAACAGAGTGTTCACCAATTATAATCATAAAACCTCATTTGATCTTAAAACAGTTATAGAGTACACTTTTGTGAGTCTTTCCCTCTTTAACTATTATGATTTTCTTTATTGTTGATGAATACATACATGTAGCTGTGCTTAACAATTAGTATTTAATGAGATCAATAAATTCAGCTCTGTGTGGCTTAAACTTGTTCACACTTTTGGTTCTTGTTTTAACTGTCAAAATTCTTGTAGTCTATCATATCAACACTATCAGGTGGTAATATGTTGTGCTACATTATTATGTTTGCCACATACTGTACATGCAGCTTGGATAATTTTGTGTTTTTGTTTTGAGAAATCATATGTGTAAAATGTAACTGTAAGATATATGTTTAAGCTGACATTTGAGTCTGTCCTGTTTTTTGCATTTATTCCTGGATACACTTTTCTTCACTT